GACTCTTGTAGTTCAGGCTGAAGCTGTACGGGTTGTACAGGGTCAGAACTCTCCTGTGGGACTTCCTGTCTGCAGAGTGGAACAGCAGCTCAGAGGGGAACAGGAAGACAGGCAGCGGGGACACGCCGCCCGTCTCACCACCCGTCTCACTCCCCGTCTCTGCCCTCCCCGCCTGTCTCACCGCTGCCTGCCCCCCATCCCCTCTCCTCCCCCCCGCGCTCCACCACCCCGCCCTGTCCCTGTCCATCATGGTTGTCTCTCCGTCTCATTGGTCCGTCTGGTGCGGCGCCGCACACGCAGCCATGATCCGAGCGCTGTCATTGGACGCCTTGGCGGTGTGATGTCAGAGCATCGCCTCCAGCTGCAGAAGACAGGAAATTATTATTATTATTAATATCATTATTATTGGTGTTATTATTATTAAAATAATGATTATTGATATTATTATTAATGATGTTATTAATATTGATATTATTTTTTTTTTTTTTTTTTTTTTTTTTTTTTTTTTTTTTTTTTGGTTTTTTTTTTAAAATAATTTTTTTTTTTTTTTTTTTTTTTTTTTGTTTTTTTTTTAAAATTTTTTTTTTTTTTTTTTTTTTTATTTTTTTTTTTTTTTTTTATTTTTTTTTTTTTATTATTTTTGATATTATTGTTAATGATATTATTATTATTATTATTATTATTATTATTATTGGTGCTGAGTTGAGCTGCAGGCCGCGCCCCTCTCTGCCTGAATACATCAGGTGTGGGTGTGTCTCTGAGCCTGAAGGCAGCAGACTGAGAGCACCAGGTGAAGATAATTTGGTGATGAGGAGTTTGAAGGCACTCACTCCCAGCATGGTGAGAGGAAGCAGTGTGACAGAAGGGTTGGAGAGACTGGACTTGGGGCAATAAGACTGCGGGACTGAAGCTCGTTTCAATGAAGGAAGAAGGAGCTGGTGGACTTTCATTTAGTTCATTCAGGTTAAAATGTGATATATTTAATATCATGTGGGTTAAAAAGTTAAGAATGTGGTGTACTTAAAAAGTATTCAAGCTAAAAGTAATTTGATAAATGTGATTTATTTGTATCTAAAAGGTAAAAGCTGCTAAAGATCATTAAATTAAAACAGTGCTTTAAAACGGATTTTATTTATTCTGGGTACTTTAAATGTTGGTTTACTATTTATTTTAGTAGGTAAAAATTAAAAAAAGTATTTGAGTTTGGATTATGGAGATTCATTATGGTTTCTATATTTTTGTGTTTGTATTTAAGGTTTTCACCTGCTATTGACCTCGGAAACTTTCAAAATAAAAGAAAGGACAGAAAGCTGAATCTTGGTCACTGACTGAAGTCCAGTTATAATCTTCTGAAGCAAGCTGCCTTTTCAAGTTGAAACTGCACGTCAAACCTCACAAGAGTGAGGACCACTTCACAATTATTATTATTATTATTATTTATCACAGAGATAAATCAATAAGTTCACATTCTGATACAGAATAAATCAAACATTGACAACTTGATGTCGATCAATAAAGAGACAACAGTTGATTGATTATTGATCTGTCTCTGGGTAAGGACACTGCACAAGCTGTGAACTGTCTGAATTATCTGGATTTGTGATACGTTGGTTCACAATGTGTTCTGATCTTCATTAACAGACAGTGTGCTTACACTAATCCCACAGTACAGTACACAACATCAAAACCTCATCCCAAAGTACGGAGGACGATATTCCTGAGTGTATCGAGATCTTCAGGAGAACTTTAGTCCATCTGTCCACCAACTGAAGATCAACAGAAGATCAACAGAAGATCCAACTGAAGACCAACAGAAGATCCAACTGAAGATCAACAGAAGACCAACTGAAGACCAACTGAAGATCCAACTGAAGATCAACAGAAGATCCAACTGAAGACCAACAGAAGACCAACTGAAGATCAACAGAAGACCAACTGAAGATCAACTGAAGATCAACGAAGACCAACGAAGATCAACTGAAGATCAACAGAAGATCAACGAAGATCAACAGAAGACCAACAAAACAAAACAACGAAGATCAACAGAAGATCAACTGAAGATCAACAGAAGATCAACTGAAGATCAACAGAAGATCAACTGAAGATCAACAGAAGATCCAACTGAAGATCAACAGAAGATCCAACTGAAGATCAACAGAAGACCAACTGAAGATCAACAGAAGACCAACTGAAGATCAACAGAAGACCAACTGAAGACCAACTGAAGATCAACTGAAGATCAACAGAAGATCAACTGAAGATCAACAGAAGACCAACTGAAGATCAACAGAAGATCCAACAGAAGATCCAACAGAAGACCCAACTGAAGATCAACAGGACGACGACCCAACGCACAGAAGTGAATCAACAACAACTGTGACCTCGAGAGAGACAGACAGTTCTGCTCTACTGAAACAGGTCTGTGAAGAGGAACCTGACCGGTGAACAGGTCTGATCTGATTCTACAGGAACCCTCTGGTTCAGGTTACTGCTGCTCAAAGGACGCTCAACCAGTTCAGTTTCCCACAATGCACTGTGTGTGTGTGTGTGTGTGTGTGTGTGTGTGTGTGTGTGTGTGTGTCACATTTAGAACCAACGTATGATCAAATCCATTCAGAGTTCACAAACTACTTATTGCTACTGTGTGTATAAACCTAAAGAACTGATCGATCAATCAATAAGTATATTGCTGTAATTAGACAGTCAGCGGGAAACTGATCAATAATCAGCTGATTGATTTCACTGATTAATAATATTCCTAAAGAGTTGAAATGAATTCACTCTATTGATCAGAAATAGATTCATTAAAATCCCAGGTTATTAGCTGAATATTGATCAGATCAATACTTCAGTAACTGATTACTAGTAACGTTCTACAGTAACTAACAGTGTAACTGATTACTAATGTAATCCCATTAAGTAAGGAACTCTCAAACAGTTTTACTTTCGGTTTTAAAGTTTGTGTTGAGAAACAGAAGGTCTCCGTTAAACCAGGAAGGTTTCCGCTCTTATTTCTATTATTTCTATTATTTCTATTATTTCTATTGTTATTGTTGTTATTGTTGTTATGTTGTATTTCCGGTGTTGTCAGTTTGTTGTTGTTGTTGTTGTTGTTTGTTCCTTCCACAGTCTGTATTCGTTGTACCGCGCTGTTCCCGGTGTCTGTATGCAGTATAATCGTTATTCTATGTGATTTACTATGAGAACCGATCAATAATCAATAACAGTGTCACCGGGCTCAGTGACGGTAGCTAACGTTAAGCTGCTCCGTCACAACGACGGTAACCGGAGCTGGAGTAAACACGGTGCTGTTTATTGTTTGTCTCTGGAGTAAACACGGTGCTGTTTATTGTTTGTTTGTGTCTCTGGAGTAAACACGGAGCTGTTTATTGTTTGTTTGTGTCTCTGGAGTAAACACGGAGCTGTTTATTGTTTGTTTGTGTCTCTGGAGTAAACACGGAGCTGTTTATTGTTTGTTTGTGTCTCTGAGTAAACACGGTCTGTTTATTGTTTGTTTGGTCTCTGGATAAACACGGTGCTGTTTATTGTTTGTTTGTGTCTTGCTTTTATTGTTTGTTTGTTTTTTGTGTCTCTGGATAAACACGGTGCTGTTTATTGTTTGTTTGTGGAGTAAACACGGTGCTGTTTATTGTTTGTTTGTGTCTCTGGAGTAAACACGGTGCTGTTTATTGTTTGTTTGTGTCTCTGGAGTAAACACGGTGCTGTTTATTGTTTGTTTGTGGATAAACACGGTGCTGTTTATTGTTTGTCTCTGGAGTAAACACGGTGCTGTTTATTGTTTGTTTGTGTCTCTGGAGTAAACACGGAGCTGTTTATTGTTTGTTTGTTGTCTCTACTCACCGAACCGCTGCCTCCACTTCCGAAACAAGCTGTTGACTTCCACAAGCCCCGCCCTCTCGGGAACGATCAGCCAATCAGGGTGCAGAACGATGAAAGAGCGGCATCCTATTGGTTGTCAGTCACGTCGGTCAGTTCTCGTGTTTACGTTAGTGACAGAAGATATTTAATATAAATTATGAATCACAATTAATGAGGTAATTAAACTAATGTAGGACTATTATTAAATACTATACTATAATAACTATATTAATTATTAATCAGATTAAATATTTATAATATAATTCTATTTTTTAGTGTTTTATTTGATGTTTTGCTGCTTTTAGTAATGTGAAGTGTATAAATGAAATGTATTATTATTATTATTATTATTATATAATTCATGAAAATAATCCCCAATAATTGAACTGATATATTCTACAGCTCTTTATTATCGTTTTATTTATTAGTACACACGATAAAAGAAATAATAGAAGTTGAATAAATGTCTGATCCAATTTATTGATGATACTGTGTCTTGTTTCAGTGTGTTCAATATCAGCTTTTAATTTATTTATACATTATTTTGGTTTATTATTTATTTGTATCTTCCACCTATAGATGTGTTTATTAATCTATATGTTTTATATATACATATATATATATATATATATATATATATATATATATATACAAATACGGATTATTTTTATTATTTTGCCTTGAGTGTATATTATTTATTAAAAGTATGTTTTAAGTGTTTTTTATTATAGTTAAATTAACCTCCATTAATTATTTGCAATTATTTTTAGATGTTTAATTAATTTAATTTTGCAAAAAATTATTTATTTTTTTATTTTAATATATTTATTTGGGCTGCTGTTGCTTTCACGTGCTGTGGGAAATATAATCGGACTTACAAACATTGAATATGGGAGCCGTTCTAAACTAAATAATAAAAAGGGGGTTAGACCGTCTGTGTGTCTGATAGATAACTCAGTGTACCGTACTGTATTATATTATCGCCAGTATTCGTCGTTAATGTATAAATATTTATATTTTTGCACAAAAGCTTTTGGGCCACGTGACGCTCAGATTAACGAGCTTTTAGATGGGACCCTGAAGGCAACGCCCTCCGTCCTCGCCTCCTGATTGGTCCGCCGGTGCTCCGTGTCTCCGGAAGTTCCTGCTCCAGAGAGTCACCTTGCCCCGGCCGCTGCAGACAGACAGACAGAGAGAGAGACAGACAGACAGGCAGAGAGACAGACAGGCAGAGAGACAGACAGCAGGAGCACCGTCCGGCTCAGAGGCACTCAGGCAGGCAGCGGAATCGAACCGGGCTCTCACCGACCCGGAGGAAACATGGCGGAGGCGAAACCCAAAACGTCCCCGAAGTCCATCAAGTTCCTGTTCGGAGGGTTGGCCGGGTGAGTCTCTGCGGGGCACTGCGGGGCACTGCGGGGTACTGCGGGGTACTGCGGGGTACTGCGGGGTACTGCGGGGAACGAGGCTGTCGGTACCGAGCTGCGGGGGGTCACGCGTTATTGTCCGGGTGTGAGGAGAACCGGAGCTGCTCGGTGTTAGCGCAGGGCCGGTGTTACGGTAAAGGCGCCCCCCCCGCGGGCTGTGCCCCCCCCCGCGGGCACCAACCGGTGATATCAGTGTCCGGAGTAATGCCGGCTTCTATTAGTCCTCCAACTCGATCTGCGAGTCGGTTTCCTGAGTTACGAACAGGAAGTTCGTTAACTCGTCTCAGAGGACCGAGTTCAGGTACCAAGATGGCTACTCAGTAAACACTGTGTTAGTGTTTGTAACCACAGAAGAAGTCGTACTCAGTAAACACTGTGTTAGTGTTTGTAACCACAGAAGAAGTCGTACCCAGTAAACACTGTGTTAGTGTTTGTAACCACAGAAGAAGTCGTACTCCGTAAACACTGTGTTAGTGTTTGTAACCACAGAAGAAGTCGTACTCAGTAAACACTGTGTTAGTGTTTGTAACCACAGAAGAAGTCGTACTCAGTAAACACTGTGTTAGTGTTTGTAACCACAGAAGAAGTCGTACTCCGTAAACACTGTGTTAGTGTTTGTAACCACAGAAGAAGTCGTACTCAGTAAACACTGTGTTAGTGTTTGTAACCACAGAAGAAGTCGTACTCAGTAAACACTGTGTTAGTGTTTGTAACCACAGAAGAAGTCATACTCAGTAAACACTGTGTTAGTGTTTGTAACCACAGAAGAAGTCGTACTCCGTAAACACTGTGTTAGTGTTTGTAACCACAGAAGAAGTCGTACTCCGTAAACACTGTGTTAGTGTTTGTTGTAACCACAGAGTCGACCCACGTAATCACTGTGTTAGTGTTTGTAACCACAGAAGAAGTCGTACCCACAGTAATCACTGTGTTAGTGTTTGTAACCACAGAAGAAGTCGTACTCCAAACACTGTGTTAGTGTTTGTAACCACAGAAGAGTCGTACCGAACACTGTGTTAGTGTTTGTAACCCGAAGTCGCCCACAGTAATCACTGTGTTAGTGTTTGTAACCACAGAAGAGTCGACCCACAGTAATCACTGTGTTAGTGTTTGTAACCACGAAAGTCCAAACATTTTTTTTTGTATTTTTACCACAGAAGAAGTCGTACTCAGTAAACACTGTGTTAGTGTTTGTAACCACAGAAGAAGTCGTACCCACAGTAAACACTGTGTTAGTGTTTGTAACCACAGAAGAAGTCGTACTCCGTAAACACTGTGTTAGTGTTTGTTGTAACCACAGAAGAAGTCATACTCAGTAAACACTGTGTTAGTGTTTGTAACCACAGAAGAAGTCATACCCACAGTAAACACTGTGTTAGTGTTTGTAACCACAGAAGAAGTCGTACTCAGTAAACACTGTGTTAGTGTTTGTAACCACAGAAGAAGTCAGTACTCACTGTGTTAGTGTTTGTAACCACAGAAGAAGTCGTACTCCGTAAACACTGTGTTAGTGTTTGTTGTAACCACAGAAGAAGTCGTACTCAGTAAACACTGTGTTAGTGTTTGTAACCACAGAAGAAGTCGTACACAGTAAACACTGTGTTAGTGTTTGTAACCACAGAAGAAGTCGTCCAAGTAAACACTGTGTTAGTGTTTGTAACCACAAAAAGTCGTACCAATAATTATTTTTTTTTTTTTTTTTAACCACAGAAGAAGTCGTACCCACAGTAATCACTGTGTTAGTGTTTGTAACCACAGAAGAAGTCGTACTCCCGTAAACACTGTGTTAGTGTTTGTAACCACAGAAGAAGTCGTACTCAGTAAACACTGTGTTAGTGTTTGTAACCACAGAAGAAGTCGTACCCACAGTAATCACTGTGTTAGTGTTTGTAACCACAGAAGAAGTCGTACTCCGTAAACACTGTTTAACTGTTTTTTAGTGTTTGTAACCACAGAAAAAGTCTTACCCACAGTAAACACTGTGTTAGTGTTTGTAACCACAGAAGAAGTCGTACCCACAGTAAACACTGTGTTAGTGTTTGTAACCACAGAGAAGTCGTACCCACTGTAAACACTGTTAGTTTAGTGTTTGTAACCACAGAAGAAGTCGTACTCCGTAAACACTGTGTTAGTGTTTGTAACCACAGAAGAAGTCGTACTCAGTAAACACTGTGTTAGTGTTTGTAACCACAGAAGAAGTCGTACTCCGTAAACACTGTGTTAGTGTTTGTTTGTAACCACAGAAGAAGTCATACTCAGTAAACACTGTGTTAGTGTTTGTAACCACAGAAGAAGTCGAACTCAGTAAACACTGTGTTAGTGTTTGTAACCACAGAAGAAGTCGTACCCGTAAACACTGTGTTAGTGTTTGTAACCACAGAAGAAGTCAACCCAGTAAACACTGTGTTAGTGTTTGTAACCACAGAAGAAGTCGTACTCCGAAACACTGTGTTAGTGTTTGTAACCACAGAAGAAGTCGTACCCAAGTAAACACTGTGTTAGTGTTTGTAACCACAGAAGAAGTCGTACTCCGTAAACACTGTGTTAGTGTTAGTTGTAACCACAGAAGAAGTCGTACCCAGTAAACACTGTGTTAGTGTTTGTTGTAACCACAGAAGAAGTCGTACCCAGCACTGTACACTGTTGCTACAGTCTCATTGTGAGTTAATGAGCCTCATTAGTTACTTTGTAGCTAACCAAACAAACAGAACGCAACAACCCGCGGTTACTCGTTCTCCAACACGGATACGACGTCGCTCTCGAGCTGCAAGTCGCGATTACGAGACAAAACGAACGCGGCATTAAAGCTGTTATACACTCGCCGTTCCCGACCTGTAGTGCGACAATGTGACGTCACGGGAGCGCCGTGACTATCTATACTTGTGCTGGTGGTCGACACTAGCTGCAGTCTTCCCTGAACAGAGGCGTCGCTACTGAGGCAGACTACAGACTTTACTATTTCTACACACTAGAAGAAGAAGAAGGGGAAACAATGGCGACCTCTTTTCTCTCTGTGTTCCTTCATTAAGGGTCGTATATATATATACTAATATTAATATATATATATATATACTAATTTTGATATATAAATATATATATTAATATATATTAATATATATATATTAATATATATTAATATATATATATATATATATTAATATATATTAATATATATATATATACTAATTTTGATATATAAATATATATATATTAATATATATTAATATATATATATATATATATTAATATATATATATATATATATATATTATATTAATATTAGTATATATGAATATATATATATATATATATAATATAATATATATTAATATATATATATATTAGTATATATGAATATATAATTGCACAGTACAGGTATAAAATGTCTGACAGCTGTAACGTCCTCAGTGCTCGGTGATGTTAGCAGCACAGCTAGCTCTCACTGACTGTCTGTCTGTCTGTCTGTCTGTCTGTCTCTTCTGTCTGTCTGCCTGTCTGTCTGTCTGACTGACTGTCTGTCTCTTCTGTCTGTCTGTCATGAACCACCATGTTTCTACAGTAGCCCAGGAGGCTCAAACCAAACACCGGCTCTGCACAGGGGACAGCGTAGTTTCTGTTTGTGTTTGGAAGTGGAGGGTGAAGCGAGGGAGTTGCTATCTACACCACTAGATAACACTAAAACCTACAGACGGATCTTTTTAAACTAAGCTTTAATAAGGAGTTTGACCCCCGAGAGCTCGTTATAAACTGAATTCATTCAGGTTTTAATTCCACTGGTTTTATGGTCTGTGAAGGTTTTACTGTAACAGATTTATTGAGAACAGAGCGTCCGTCTCCTTTATTGTCTCAGCTGTGTTAAAGCTACAGGTTATTTTATCCATCTCTTACATCGTCACAGTTAGTCTCTGTGAGACTCGATGAACTCAGTGTTTTCTATATTATTACATTATTAATGTGACAGACTGTAACTGAGGTCTCTCAGTCGTGTGCTTTGTGTTTCACTTTCAGGTCACTGAGACGTTTTGAATGAACCTGTATGACCGTGACTTGTGTTTAATATACGTCACATTAATCCCACTGACCCTCTGAGCTGACAGACAGACAGGATTTAAAGAGGTGTGCAGTCCTGAACCAGGAAGGTCTGTGGAGTGATGCATTGTGGGTGAAAGTCCAGTGTTTGTACTCTTTCTGACCTTGTGTGGTCGTATTTTTTACAGTGTGCACACTGTAAAAACATAGTGGACAAACTGGTGTCAGCAGCTGTGTCCTTTAAATGCCACGACCCCCCCCCACAGACCTTAAAGCACGGAGCACGCCAACCTCTGCGGCTGCCGGTGTCAGACACACCGCACACTCAGCTCTGGGGGTAAATTCAAGGGCCTTGAAAAGCCTGGAAATGTGTGGCAGCACTGAGACTTCAGGGAGGAAAGAGGATGAAGGTACAAGAGTTCAAACTCCACTGATACTGATATCTGTGTGTGTACAACTGTAGATCAGGAGTCACCTGCTGCAGCTTTAAATGGCTGATTTCACTTTATTATCACTATCACTCTCCAGCACACTGCAGAGACACAAACACCTTCAGATCATCAGAACTTCATTAAAGTGGACAGAACCAGAATCAGAGTCATTAAACTGTCTCTGTTAGTGTTTCCAACAATCACCAACTCTGGTTTGTAGAAGAAAATAAAGACTAAAAATAATAAACTTAAATGCACATTTATCAGTAAGACGTCACAATATTCTTTACAGTAAACTTCAACTGAAGGTCGTTGACAAATCCTGAATTATCTTCAATAAACTGCAGATATATTTCTGTATTGATCGGCTCTGAAGTGAATATTCAATATTAAGTAAATAATATGAACATTAGCTTCAGTGTTTGTCTGTTTTCTAACGTGGTAAAGAGATTATTGTTAGATTACATGTGACATTTTAAACAGAACTTTTGTATTTGTTCTATTTTCTGACATTTTGAACTCAATGAGAGAGTTGATTCATCAGATCCTGTGACGGATGTGGACTTGGTGCAGTGGATGTGGACTTGGTTCAGTGGACTTGGTGCAGTGGATGTGGACTTGGTGCAGTGGATGTGGACTTGGTTCAGTGGACTTGGTTCAGTGGACTTGGTGCAGTGGACTTGGTGCAGTGGACTTGGTGCAGTGGACTTGGTGCAGTGGATTTGTCCTCTGTGATGTAATAAGTTGTCCAGCGCGGGTCAGAACATCATGTGATGAAAACATGTTTGTTACATCACTAAGTGGATTAGGATTATTGACATGAGACCACTCAATCATCTGATCCACATGTAACTGGTTCTACAGGAAACAGACGTATGAGCAACAGGAAGTCTAAAATCTACTGATGTAAACGTGAAGCATTAAAAAGTCTTTGACAGATCAGATTGATCCGATTATTGAAGGTAACGTTACTGTGGGAAGTTGGTGACGGTGTCTTGGTCTTGAAAGGTCTTGAAAGGTCTGGAATAGAACCAGCAATAGCTCTGGATTGGCAGTGGAGCAGGATCCCTGATCACCTGGTCAACAGGTAGCGTTAATGAACTACTATTTCCTGAACCCTGACCTCCATGTCGGGGCCTCACAGGCTGATAAAGTCATTGATTACAGTACGAACCGTTCCTCTCAGAGCTCTGATAACACCGCTATCACTGCAGAGTCCCGTATCACAGACACAATCAGTCTTCCTCCAACCGTGTAATCAATAAAGAATAAAGAATCTGGGGCCATATGGACGTACGCTGATACTCGCACAGAGCATGCTCAGTAGAGTCCACATGAATATCTCCCTGTGAATGGATCAGATTCTGATAATAGGGAACATGTATTCACAGGTATACAGTAGCCTGTATTTAATGAATAACTCTTTTCTCCTGTCTGTCTGTCTCTGTCTCTGTCTGTCTGTCCAGGATGGGTGCGACAGTCTTTGTGCAGCCGTTGGATCTGGTGAAGAACCGGATGCAGCTGAGCGGTCAGGGCACGAAGGCTCGAGAGTACAAAACCAGCTTCCACGCTCTGTTCTCCATCCTGAAGAACGAGGGAGTCGGAGGCATCTACACTGGGTATCTACCGCTCCTTCTACGCTCCTTCTACTGCTTCTTCTACGCTCCTTCTACGCTCCTTCTACTGCTTCTTCTACGCTCCTTCTACCGCTCCTTCTACCGCTCCTTCTACGCTTCTTCTACCGCTCCTTCTACGCTCCTTCTACCGCTCCTTCTAACGCTTCTTCTACCGCTCCTTCTACGCTCCTTCTACCGCTCCTTCTACCGCTTCTTCTACTGCTTCTTCTACACTTCTTCTACCGCTCCTTCTACGCTCCTTCTACCGCTCCTTCTACCGCTCCTTCTACCGCTTCTTCTGCCGCTCCTTCTACCACTCCTTCTCCTTCTACCGCTCCTTCTAACGCTTCTTCTACGCTCCTTCTACGCTCCTTCTACCGCTCCTTCTACTGCTTCTTCTACTGCTCCTTCTACCACTTCTTCTGCCGCTCCTTCTACCGCTCCTTCTACCGCTCCTTCTACTCTACCGCTCCTTCTACCGCTCCTTCTACGCTTCTTCTGCCGCTCCTTCTACCACTCCTTCTGCCGCTCCTTCTACCACTCCTTCTACCGCTTCTTCTACCGCTCCTTCTACGCTCCTTCTACCGCTCCTTCTACCACTCCTTCTACCACTCCTTCTGCCGCTCCTTCTACCGCTCCTTCTACCGCTCCTTCTACTGCTTCTTCTACGCTCCTTCTGCACGCTCCTTCTACCACTCCTTCTACCGCTTCTTCTACCGCTCCTTCTACGCTCCTTCTACCGCTCCTTCTACCGCTCCTTCTACCGCTCCTAAAGACAACTATCTAAAGACAAACTGACAGACCTGTACAGAGATATATAACTATAATATTAATAAATAGATATATAGTTTATGGTAAAGAGATAAATTGACTAGAAAGATCACAATGCAGAGGTGGGGGACTCGAGTCGAGTGACTTGACTCGAGTCAGACTTAAGTCGCCAGATTGAGGACTTGATTAACAGTGATAAAAGACTTGACTTGATTCTGACTTGCTAGTCATGACTTGAGACTTGACTTAGACTTGCATGAAATGACTCGACAAGTCATTGCTGTCTTTATTAATGTGAATTATCAAAAATATATATTTTTTTCGATTGGATGTTTCCTGTTGCATGTGGGCGAACCTGGAAACCTGTAATCTAACCTGTAATCTAACCAAGTGACGCACCATCACTGACTGCAGCGGTTGTAGAGGCCGGAGCGGAGCACTGGAAGATGGAACTGGAAAGAACTGCTGGCACAGCAGCTGTTCCCAGAATTATAAGATTTGGTTTCAGAGACTTTTCTAACCTGCAGCTCCTGCATCCGCGCACACACTCTCTTTCTCTCGCTCGCTCACTCGTCCACACACACCTTACGCACATTTTACGCACAGCTTGTTCCCCAAGGGAATATCTCTCCTCTTATAACACTTGAAGGTCGCCAGTAGAATCAATAGTTCCATTAGCCAAATAAGAGGTTTGTGCCAACAGCGACGATGTCAATAATAATTCACGTGTAGGATATTAAATCAATACTCATCAGTAATGTCTTATATTGGATATTACACTGAATAGTTAAGATCCACTTCATGTCAGTGGTAATCTGTGATTTGGAGCTTATTAATAATTAATTTGTAAGATATTTAATCAATGAAATGATCAGTAATAATTGGCATTAGGTAGGGATGTCCGATATTATCGGCCCTCCAATATTATCCGATATTCTCTAAAAAATTTAATATGGGGAATTATCGATATCGGGTTTTATAACCGATGTTTGTTCTGTAAGCTTCAGCATTTCCGAGCCTGCATGAACGCAGCATGGGACGTTTACCGGCGCGCTAGATGACGTAACAACATCAACTACACTAGACTGGTTGGTTGCTAACTGTGGCTAATAAGCAAACAATTTAAAGCTGAATGATTTTAATATTAACACAAAATAAGTGCAATGCACCTTAAATATTTTACCCTACTATGAGCTGTTCCTTAACTTACATTAGCACTCCTTCAGGAGCATAATACAATTAAACACATTAACCAAAACTAGTGCTTAGCTAGCGATTAGCGTTAGCACTCTTTTCAGTATTAATACAATGAAAGTTGAAGTCGTTCTCTTATTTTGCACAGACAGTGTTTACATTTGGAAAGCAATGTTGCATTTATGTATGCATCCAGTGGGGCATCACCATAAAATGAGTCATAATGTGTTAATTCCACAATAGGCGATATGTTATGTTGTTACAGTTTTGGTGTAAACAGGCTGCATATATCGGTATCGGGTGATATCGGTATCGGGTGATATCGGTATCGGTATCGGGTGATATCGGTTCGGGTGATATCGGTATCGGGTGATATCGGTATCGGGTGATATCGGTATCGGGTGATATCGGTATCGGGTGATATCGGTATCGGGTGATCGGGTGATATCGGTATCGGGTGATATCGGTATCGGGTGATATCGGTATCGGTATCGGGTGATATCGGTATCGGTATCGGGTGATATCGGTTCGGGTGATATCGGTATCGGGTGATATCGGTATCGGGTGATATCGGTATCGGGTGATATCGGATATCGGCAGAAAAGCCAATATCGAGCATCCCTAGTATTCGGTATTACACTGTGATAAAACATGATGCACAGACGTCAGCTTTTGAAATGATGCATCTTTCTGCTTTGTTCTATTTTAATAAATAACCGGGACTAATCGACTACACAAAATAACAATGGATTGATTAGTAGACAACCAAAATGATGGTTAGTTGCAGTCCTCGTACAGTGTAGAGTGAATCAACATAGCCAACCCTTGAACTTTAGTTTAATGTTTGACACACAGTGACATTATTCATGTGTTCATTCAGCCTAATACAGTCTATGGTTTTACTTTAGCACATACTGAATATGTCCACAGAACAGTGACGGGCTGTATGTTTAATGAGACATTACAGATGACAGCTTAGTAGAAAAGCATGGACAACATCTTTAATTGATTTTGATTTAAAAATATTTTAATTGCAATGTTACCTATTTATTTAATGGAATACTATGCAAAGAAAACATGAGCTACCAGCACTTTAAGACGGTTGTCATGCAGCTTATTATATTTCTATGACCTGACTCGACAACAATGACTTGAGACTTGCACATGTGGGACTTACTCCCACCTCTGTCACAATGATATGTGTTGGTCACTGAGATGCAGGGAGAAGGGCAGTAGATTGGTGGATGACGGGTCATTGTCCTGTTTTAACTCATTGAAATATGAAATAAAGTGAACTAGAGTGCGTCCACAGCAGGTTGTTCAGGGTTAACAGTGCGTGTAGTAATTCAGTGTTGTGTTGTTGGTGTGTCAGTTTGTCGGCAGGTTTGTTGCGTCAGGCGACGTACACGACGACTCGTCTGGGAATCTACACCATCCTGTTTGAGAAAATGACCGGAGCTGACGGACGGCCTCCAAACTTCCTCCTCAAGGTACTTTACACAGGCTTTTACAGTTTTTACTGGCACACACTGCTTTCCCCTTTAACATCTACGGGCTCTTCGACGTCTTTCAGTAAACAGGGGAGCTGTTGAACTGTAATCCCTGAAAGCAGCTCAACTCTCATTTATGGTACAAGGTGACTTGATGTAGTTAGTTCATGTATAAGAGCACAGTGCAGTTGGACTGGTCTCTGAGTCGGTCCATTGGAAGTGGAAGCAGAATCAGAGTCCTGCTGTTGGTCAAAGTAACGCTGTGTGCTCCCCCTGCAGGCTCTGATCGGTATGACAGCTGGAGCTACAGGAGCGTTTGTGGGAACACCGGCAGAGGTCGCACTGATCAGGATGACGGCGGACGGACGGTGAGACAGACAGACGGACTGACAGACAGACAGGCAGGAGTTATGTAATGTATAAAGTAAAGATCTGCTGGACTGAACCTGGTCTCCTGTCCCTGCAGCCTCCCTGCAGACCAGAGGAGAGGTTACTCTAATGTTTTTAACGCTCTGGCTCGAATCACCAGAGAAGAAGGGATCACCACACTGTGGAGGGTGAGCAGCCGTTTTATACTCACACATTCTCGAACTGTGGATGTTTCCTCTAATATCAGTTTATAGTCTGAACACTGACTGATGATCCTTCATTGTGCTGTAGGGGTGTATTCCCACCATGGCTCGAGCGGTGGTGGTGAACGCAGCTCAGCTGGCCTCCTACTCTCAGTCCAAACAGGCCCTGCTAGACTCAGGTACACACAGAACCGACGACACACACACACACACACACACACAGACACACACACACACACACACACACACACACACACACAGACACACAAATACACACACAGACACACACACAGACACACAAATACACACACACACACACACACACACACACACACACACACACACACACACACACACACACACACACACACACACACACACACACACACACACACACACACACACACACACACACACACACACACACACACACACACACACACACACACAAATACACAGACACACACACACACACACAGACACACACACACACAGACACACACACACAGACACACACACAAATACACAGACACACACACACAGACACAGACACACACAGACACACACACACACACACACACACACACACACACACACACAGACACACACACACACAGACACACACACACACACAGACACACACACACACACACACACACACAGACAAAAACAAACACACACAACACACAAAACACACACAACACACAAAACACACACACACACACACACACACACACACACACACACAGACACACACACACACAGACACACACACACAGACACACACACAGACACACAAACACACACACACAGACACACACACACACACACACACAGACACACACACACACAGACACACAAGTACACAGACACACACACACAGACACACAAATACACAAACACACACACACACACACACACACAAATACACACAAACTCACAAACAGTGTGTGTGTGTGTGTAACGTGTGTGTTTGTTTTCAGGGTATTTTGGGGACGACATTCTGTGTCATTTCTGTGCCAGTATGATCAGCGGTCTGGTTACCACGGCAGCGTCGATGCCCGTTGACATCGTAAAGACCAGGTGAGACTCTGCACTAACGCTGGATCCTGATTGGTTGATTCCTCCGGAGGTCAAAGGTCAGATAAAGACTTTGTGCTTCCTGTTTGTGTGTCAGGATTCAGAACATGAGGATGATCGACGGGAAGCCCGAGTATAAGAACGGACTGGTGAGTGACGTTTATTTAAACGTATTCAGTAAAATCAGCGTTGACCTTTGACCTTGTGTGTTATTGATCACTGATGGTATGGAAATATTAGTATATTTCTATCACTATGATCTCTCATATAACCGCTGTATCCTCTCTGTTAGCTTTACAGTAATAGTTCAGATTCTTCTAGATTATATTAGTTTGGGTTCAAATATTAAAACGTTTTGCATTTGAATATAATAATAATAATATTTAATATTTAATATTAATAGTAATAATTGTAATATAAATTACAATTTAACTTTTGCTTAAATATTAGTATTTTAAATTCAGTTTGTGCTGCCACTAAAATAACTCTTTTATCTTTGTTTCTGATTAAATTAAACTTTGTAAAACTTTATTTTATATGGAAGCATATTGCATTCACATCAACATTTACTTTATTTTTTTTCTGATTTTCTGAAATTTTTTTTTCTTCTGTTTTTGGGACTCATTTTTTTTTTAGTTTAGAGAGCATTTGAAACAAAAGTCGCGGGAGTTCGAAGTATCTCGATAATTCACAAAAAGATTACTCCGAAAAACAGAAAAATAATTACTCAGAAAAACAGGGCGGAAAAAAAATGTCAGAAAAAATTATTCCAAAAAACAAACCAAAAAATAAATTACTCAGAAAAAAATGATTTTTTTTTTTTTTCAAGTGAATGCAAAACGCTCCCATAATTTTAAAAATGTGTCTTCTCTTAAAATCGTTTAACGTTGCGACTTTTTCTAGAAACATTGTGATTTTTCTGCACATTTCTTCTCTGTGGCTGTTGATCCGCTGTCTTCTTCTGTGGTTGAATAAAGTGTTTCCTGTGTGTCTCCGCCCATCAGGAGGTGCTGATGCGAGTCATACGCGCCGAAGGTTTCTTCTCTCTGTGGAAAGGTTTCACTCCGTACTACGCTCGCCTCGGCCCTCACACCGTCCTCACCTTCATCTTCCTGGAACAGATGAACCGCGCGTACAAGACCTACGTCCTCGACCGCTAACACACACACACACACACACACACACACACACACACACACACACACACACACACACACACACACACACACACACACACACTGTAGCACAAACCTCTTCCTGTTCCTGACGCCACATTTCAACTTAAAACTGAAGAATTTAAAGGAGCAGTCCCACATTCATCCTCCCGCTCTTCTGTGAAACTAATGGTGGACTGTCCCTTTAAGTTTACATACACACACTGCCGTAAAGACGCACACACACAGCCAGCCTTGTAAAAGAAGGAGCCAGTGTTAACGCGCACACACACACACACACACACACACACACACACACACACACACACACACACATACATACACACACACATACACACACTCTAATTCTTTTTGTAAAGAAAGGAATGTAAAATAAAAAATAAACGTAGTTCAGACATCATTCAGTGATGTCTGAATAATAAATAAGTCTTATTTGTAGAATTGTCTCCCCCCCGACCCGTTGTGAAAACACACAGCAGCATCATGGGATTGCTCGGTAACCGTGGATACAGCTGATGAAGTACTGATGGAGAGAGAATAAACAGTTTGAGCCTCACTGTGTCTCTGATATTCTTTCATTAACAGGTTTCAGCTGATTATTCTGCAAATACTCCAACTTTAAACTCTTTTTGTCATTATTATTATTCCTTCTCTACGTTTTACGTCCTGGAATACATGGAGGTGGAGATGGAGGTGGAGGTGGAGATGGAGATGGAGATGGAGGTGGAGGTGGAGATGGAGGTGGAGGTGGAGATGGAGATGGAGGTGGAGGTGGAGATGGAGATGGAGGTGGAGGTGGAGATGGAGAGGAGTGGAGGTGGAGATGGAGATGGAGATGGAGGTGGAGGTGGAGGTGGAGATGGAGGTGGAGGTGGAGGTGGAGATGGAGGTGGAGGTGGAGGTGTATCTGTTGCTGGGATAATGTACCAGACGTGGAGTGGAACAGACGATGTTTTCAGTATTTTGAAGAGTCTGTTTGAGGGAACCGGAGTCAGTTCACCGGAGAGCGCCGCGGTTAACTCCTCTGTGGTGAGAACAGCGCCGTTGTCCCGTAAACGCTGACCGCCCTCCTTCCTACTGGTTAAAGTGTCAGTACTGCAGCTACTGGAGAACAAGTTCACAGATAGTTTCACTTTATTCTCTAATGAACACCGAGAACCCTTCACATCACGTTTCATCTGTTTTCTTGGTTGAATTCATTCACATGTTTTCAGGAAGTTAAAGTCCAGCCAACAGTTCCACACACCTGGTTCAACGTTGTTCTAAAGCTTACCTGTGAGCGTTGTGATGGTTGGACAAATGATATCTGAATATCTGATTTAAAGTTTGTGTAATGCCCCCTAGTGGTGGATTAGAATGAAAGTTCTGTCCAGTGGTAGTTGACTCAGTGGTCAATATATTGAAAACTAAACAAGGTATCAATAAACCTTACACAACCATCCAGTGATGATTCACAGAAGGTTTGGTAGCAGTCGGACCGACGGTTCAGGAGTAGACGGCAGAAATGTGTTCTTCTGGTCCCATGGATCTCAGGTACAGCGTGAGGGGGCGTGGCCTCTACAGAGTACAGATGTTTAGGTTTTAATTACAGCTTTATACTTTAAACATATTCAGGTTGTTTTGATATAAAACAAAATATAATCAGAACAAACAGCAGCTGATTGGTTGTAGCTTCGTATGTCCAGCAGGGGGCAGGAGAGACACTGATGTGAGTGGACAAAAGTATGTGGACGGATTCAGTAATGGGATTATTAACAGATAAAATAAATTGATTATCTGAGTGATCAAGAAGTCAAACCAGTTTCAAATCCATTTTGTAGCTTTTACCATGAATATTAATTATATTTATAACTGCTGCATTCACAATCACACATTACACATACAGAGTGTCTGAATACTGACGTTCTCTGTGGAGTTAGTTTATTATTTAAATCACAATCATGATCACTTTATTGATCGGGGGGGGTAATTTGTTCCTTACAGCTGCTCAAGGTGCTCACACAACATTAAAGAATAGAAATAATAATTATATTACAATATCTAACAATGTATCTAGAAATAGAAAAGGTACACACATATAAAATAAAAATAGAAAATAGTAAAATATAATAAGAGTCTGAGTATGAACATTGTAAAATATGTAATCAGAGTATTGCACATTAATCGGTGGAGCCTTGGCCTTCCTCAGGTCCACAACCAGTTCCTGAGTCTGTCACATTGAGCTGCAGATGGTTCTGCTGGCACCACCACGGTCCAGTACTCGGTGCCATCCCCTGCTGATGCCCCCCACCACAGCAGAGACCTCAGAAAGCCTCTGAAGGTGGCAAGACTGTCAGCTGCTCACCCAGCAGAGCTCGCCGGTCGTCCACATGGGTGTAGATGATGGTGCCCTCGACTCCCAGTCTTGGGGCTGGTAGGCGAACTGGAGTGGGTCCGAGTGAGGTTTGACCACGGGCTGCAGCTGCTCCAGAACTCTCTCAGGGTCTTCATGATGTGGGGGGTCAATGCCACTGCTCTGTAGTCCTTGGAGCCTCCGGGGCGTGGCGTCTTCGGCACAGGGACGAGGCAGGATGTCTTCCACACCACAGGGACTCTCTGGAGACTCGGGAGGAGTCGTCAGACTGGAGGGGGCCGTTAGAGCCAGAGGATGGGGGGGGGGTAGGACTCTTACAGGAGGATGGGGGGCTGTGAGGAGGTGTTACGGGGCAGAAGAAGAACAGATTAAGCTCGTTGGCTCGGTCCGAGCAGCGGAGCGATGTCTGTTGAGCTTCTGATTGATTCTGTTTCAGTGACTCTCAGATTATCTCCTGCGGCATGATGATGTCACAGTGAAGTCATCAGACAGCAGGTGCATTGTGGGGAATGTAGGCTCTGGTGTTTTGGGGACTGGAAGGCCTCTGATGCTCAGACGGTGGGGGTCCAACGTCTCACTGGAGCTCCTCCATCGCTACTAATACAAAATGATTGATAATGAAAATCGTCCAATCAGCAGCACAGTTTATTAATGTGCTTTTAATGTGAAAGGGCTCCTGATGGAGCGGTTGTTTGTGTCAGCAGACGACTGAAGACAGAGAGAGGAAATGGAAAAACACTCCATCTCTGCTGGTTGTGAAACGACAGCAGTGTGTGTGTGTGTGTGTGTGTGTGTGTGTGTGTGTGTGTGTGTGTGTGTGTGTGTGTGTGTGTGTGATCTTCTGAACAGGAAGTAGAGGTTTGTGACAGGAAGTAGGTGTGTCCTGTTCAGAAGACGCCGTGTGGTTTAATGTCAGTTTCTCATAAAAACAAATGAATGATGTTCTGTCACACTGAGTGTGTGTGAAGCTCATTAAAATGTGTGTGTGTGTGTTAATCACATTCACACATGCGCTCTCGCTGCTTTACCTTATAAGGACACGCACACACTTCACATTCGTCATTAAAGACACCACTTCCTCTTTTATTGCTCGCCTCCACTTCTTTCGACTTGACTCAGAGTTCAGTGTGTGAGTGTGTGTGTGTGTGTGTGTGTGTGTGTGTGTGTGTGTGTGTGTGTGTGTGTGAGTGTGTGTGTGTGTCTGTGTGTGTGTGTGTGTGTGTGTGTGTGTGTCTGTGTGTGTGTGTGTGTGAGTGTGTGTGAGTGTGTGTGTGTGTGTGTGTGTGAGTGAGTGTGTGTGTGTGTGTGTGTGTGTGTGTGTGTGTGTGTGTGTGTGTGTGTGTGTGTGTGTGTGTGTGTGTGTGTGTGTGTGTGTGTGTGTGTGTGTGTGTGTCTGTGTGTGTCTGTGTGTGTGTGTGTGTGTGTGTGTGTGTGTGTGTGTGTGTGTGTGTGTGTGTGTGTGTGTGTGTGTGTGTGTGTGTGTGTGTGTGTGTGTGTGTCTGTGTGTGTGTGTGTGTGTGTGTGTGTGTGTGTGTGTGTGTGTGTGTGTGTGTGTGTGTGTGTCTGTGTGTGTGTGTGTGTGTGTGTGTGTGTGTGTGTGTGTGTGTGTGTGTGTGTGTGTGTGTGTGTGTGTGTGTGTGTGTCTGTGTGTGTGTGTCCTCGATGTTCTGCCTCCATTAAAGGTTATGATGATGAACTCTTGTTGTGGCCTCATGTTGGAGGCCAGGGCATGTGTAGCCTAGCTTAGCACAAACACTGGAAGCAGGGGGAAACTGTTAGCCTCCATCCAAAGACAAACAGGCCTCTCAGTATACACTGTATCTTTATGGATGATATTGATCAGTATACACTGTATCTTTATGGATTATTGATCAGTATACACTGTATCTTTATGGATGATATTGATCAGTATACACTGTATCTTTATGGATTATTGATCAGTATACACTGTATCTTTATGGATGATATTGATCAGTATACACTGTATCTTTATGGATGATATTGATCCTGTATTGACAGTCAGACTGTGGACATATGACAGCCTTTAGCTCGTGTTTCTAGAGTTACGTGTTGTTACGAACACGTTAGGAATTGTTAAAATGTGATATTTCTTAAAGGGAGTTTGGTGCAGGGAGCTTTTAGTTGGATTCAAACTGCTGATATGGATCATTGTTAACGTTTAGTCTCCACTACAGAAACACTAGCTGACTGCTAAAGGCTGATCATCTCCACGTCAAAGTAAGGTTTTCTAAATAAAATTAATAAAGATCAGTTCAAGCGTCTGATCAGGATCCTCCTGGACGCCTCCCTGCAGAGGTTTTCCAGACACGTCCAGCTGGGAGGAGACCCTGGGGTGGAGCCTCGCTGGAGGGATTATATACGTAATGACTGTCACAACTAAAGATTTTCAAGGTCGACGAGTCATCACACATTACTGTATTGATTATAATCTTTATATATAAGAACAGTAACAGAAACAGCAGTAATGATTGTGAATCAGAACAACCAGCAAGGAGACTGAACCTTTAGTTCATCACACAGTCCTCTGATACTTTGGTCCCGGGGACGAGGAGCAGCTCCTGAACGCAGTTTAACGTTGGTTTGGTTTTTCTGCGCCTGTCAGACTGATGGAGAGGGTCCACTGAGACTCTGGGTGGCAGTGGCACAGTGTGTAGGGACTTGGCTTGGGAACCCAAGGGTTGCCGGTTCAAGTCCCCCAGACCACAAAATCTCTCCCCTTTGCATTTCCACAAGTGCATGAAGTGTGTATTTCAGCCTGTGTGTGTGTAACCAAAAAAAAAGAGTGAAAAGAACAATTTCCCCTAGGGGATCAATAAAGTATTTCTTCTTCTCAGAGACTGATGTCGACTATTCTATTCGATTCTAATCTCTCCTCTGGCCTCGGGATCCTCCAGGAGGAGCTGAAGGTGTTGGTGAGGAGAGGGACGTCTGGAATACGTTGCTGCCACTGCGTCCTCAGAAAGTAACCTGTTGGTTTGTTAAAGCACATGAACAAGACAGCAGCTAACTCTTCAATCTGAATGGATGGAAAACTTCACACGGGACTGGGTCGGCTGTGTCTCAGGAGGCAGAGCGGGTCATCCACTAATCAGAAGGTCGGCGGTTCGATCCCCGGCTCCTCCTGCTGCATGTTGAAGTGTCCTTGAGCAAAATCCTGAACCCCAAACTGCTCCTGATGCTGA